TATATTCTATTTAACACACTGACATGTGACAGAAAAGTAGGTCCATTAAAAAGAACTATAACTTTAGTTTCTAACCTTTGATTTTTGTTTTGTTCAATGCTTAATTTTTATTTTATTTTACCTGTTTGAGGGTTTAATCTCTTATTATTATTTTTTATTTGAGTACATTCCATCACTTAAGACTATTAAATGTTGATATGGCCCGTATCAATTCGCATTTGGCCTTTTTGTACTCAAATGTAACAAAAGGTGAATTCTATTTGAAATTATTAAGAATAAAATATAATATAAAAATTAATTTTGTACTCATTACACACACTTTTCATTTGAAGTCGAGTACGGAATAAAGGATCAAAAGGTTAGTTGATTATATGTTAAGTAAAAAAAAATTAAGACTTAATGTATGAGAAAATAATGAAACTTATATTTTTTAAATATTTTGATCGAAATTTAAATAAAAAAACTTACATGTATAAATATTATTATCAAAAGTTTTGTTCATAACTTTTCTATTTAAAATTAAATATAAAATAAGATAAAATGTTTAAAAAATGTAAAATTTTTTATTTTATGATACATTAAGTCAAAAATAAAATAAGAATGCCAGAAGACCTTTCAAAAAGGAAATGATATTATTTTTTGAGTTATTCGTCACCAAACGAGATGAGTGATGAAAAATCTCTTCGAAACAAGAAACTTTCAAGAACTTGTTCGGATGCTGAGTTGATACAATATTAATATTTTCAAAACTTTTTTAATGTTTCTACATATCTTTTCTATATTTTTTTTGTTTTGAATTTCTACCATCTCTTCTCTTTAATATATATAATTTTGAGCGATACTTTTTTTTTTTTTATGTTTTAGTACAAAAAGATTATGCATCAGTTGATATCGATTACATTAATATTTAATAGTATCGTGTGATTAAGTATACTCAAGAAAGGGGAGGAAAAAAAAAGTTAATCACTCAAATAAGGAAAAATAAAAGATTAAACATTCAAACAAAACAAAAATATTAAAATTACAGTTTTCTCTAATTTTGATTCAAACTTTTTTTATATATATGTCAGTTGATACCAGCCACATGTAAAATTCTCAATAAACAAATCCTATCCATATATCTATAGTTTAAAATATTTATTTTTGATCTCAACATGCGGTTGCACGATACATAATAATAGAGTATGCCAGCTTATGTGTCTTTTGGTTTTCCATAATCCTTACACCTGACTTGAAGAGTTGCTCTAGAATTTTGGATGGAAGTCTTTGTTTTCGAGACTCTTTTGTCTGCGTCAGTCATTTCTTTAGTTGTAAAAAACTTGTGTGTAATAAAAATAGTTGCTCTTGGATGATTATGTTTCTAGAGAACAATATCTGCTCAATGCCCTTCCTGATCTGATCAGCTGAGAAATAAATCTTCTACCAATCCTTGGCCATGGCCAACCACCCCCGTCGACATGAAATTAATAGGCGGGTTGCTGTCTAATCATAGTTAAAACCATTAGACGTAATCATTTGACTAATCATAGAGATGAACTTAATGATTTGTTAGATGAGAAAGGAACCCTCTCCTTTTCATGAAAAAAAAATAATAATAATAATAATTATCCAAATTTTGAATTTGGCATGCTGGTTGCTTGCTGACCTGTTAGAAGATTTTAATTTTTAATTTTTTTAACAAGTAATGGAGTATTCTCAAGTTAATTTTTGAATTAATCGAGATTAAATTTTTTTAAAAAAAAAAAACTAAATCAATGTTCGATGATGTTTAATTTTTTATTGATTTTAAGAATCGGATTGTTTTAAGTCACCAGCAGTCCATGTATCATATCACGCAAAAGAGAAAAATGAGTTTTTTAAAAATGAGAATTAAATCCATGATCTGCTCAGTTAAAGACCCTCTTATCACCGTTCTACCTACAATTTTCGATAGTAAAAAGGCAAAACTTACTTTTTAGTGACAAAATACTTACTTTTCAACAAACATATGGCTAATTTTTCAGTTATCATCAGTGTAGGACTGTATAATCTTGTGTTCTTACAGATATATATATAGGGCTTGTCACAGCATGTAAACCATCTGTCCAGGTCAGGCTTCCGAAGTAATATCCAGTATTTACTTTGTGGGTTGTAGAGACAGTAACCATTAAGGGGATGGTAGAGTTGAAAATCAAAATTTTAGGTCTGAGAAATACCGAAATGCCAAAAGGAAGCTTAATCAAGGATTTGTATATGGAGTTGACAGGACCAAAAAATTTTACTGTTCTAGTCAGGACCACTGACTTGCTCAGGTTTGGAACTGTAATGGAAGGTGGATTGACATCCAAAATAGAGGGTTTCGTACTTGAACAAATTGTTACTTTTCCTGCAACAAGAGAGAGAGATGAGTCATTATAAACCACAGCAGAGAGGAAATGTATGTAGTCATTTGTGCCCATGTCATAAACAAGACCAGGTTCTGCAGCTTTGTTCCGGTTCACCAAGCCACCTCCAAAGTCGAATGGATCGGCGGATCGGCCAGCTTCCGAGAGGAGCCTTTAGCCAAAATAGGTTCTCCATGCGGATCAGTTTTCCATGCTGAAAAGAAGAATCATGACTTATGGTTAATTAGTCATATGTGATGAAGCCAAAAACTACGGCAATAAAATTTGTCCATGTAAGTAGAAGGAAGTTTTCTTGTTGTTGATGTTATGGATGTACCTGTTGTGACAATTGCTGATTTGATAGCAGAAGGGGACCAATAGGGGTGGATTGCTTTAAGAAGTGCCACAATTTCTGAGAAATAGGGAGTGGAAAATGATGTTCCAGCAAGAATAGAGAACCCACCAGCCTCGAAGGGATATGCAGGAGAACTAGTAGCCAATATACTTACACCAGGTGCCGCCATATCTGTAGCTACGGAACCCTTACGCCAAGGTGAGAACAGAAGATAGATTAATACCTTCAAAATGGCTGGAGCGTCATCGTTACTGAAAATTTTCAACATGGTACTTCCTCAAATGATTTCCAGGGTACTTAGAACGTAGAATTGATACTAGCAAGTTAGATTATAAAAAATACCAGCATGTTTATATATTGTTCCGAAGTGTAAGGAAAGTCAGAAAGAACTTATCATAGTTTTTAAAAACGATTGTTACATTACATGACGACTGTTATATAACAGTTTCGAAATATCCCGTTATCATTATTCGGCGTTATGGATACCCCAACGCCGTTTTACAAGTATAACTTTAAATAACGGTATTATATAATAATAACACCGTTATTTGCCATTATATAATGGCATTATACATTAAAAAAAAAAAAAAAACCAGAAATCAACCATTTTAGATTTAGAGTTTAAGAGTTTATTTTATTACGGAATAAGAATCAAATACTAGAGTTGTAGGCTTGATTGAACAAATATTGAATTAGTTCTTTAGTTAGTCCTTTTTATTTCAAAAACCAATTATTTATTTATTTTTGTTCATTTTATGTTATTTCCTAATTAATTTTCTTTTTTGTTTGAAAAAATAAATTTATATCATGGAAATATTGATAAAAAAACACATTTTGTGGAATAAAATATATTATATTAAATATGATCAAAAGATTAAATAATTAGTTTTTAAAACATTAAGAACTAATTAATTCATTTATCAAAACTAGAGAGAATAATGTATAATTTACTTGAGGTTGTCTCTCTTGTGTGCTAGGCAATAAATGCAGGCTTTAATTGAGCAAATTATAAATTAGTTCTTTTAGTTTGGAAAAATAAAGTAGTTGGTTTTTCTTGTTTCAAAACCAATTATTTAGTCATATTTTTTAATCTTATGTCATTTTCTTTTTCTTTTCTTTTTTTCCTTTTTGTTTTAAAAATTAGAAAAATAAAAAAATAAATTTACATCATGATAAGAATGATGAAAAAAAATTATGAAATAAAATATCTTACATTAAACCTAGTCAACACTTGAATAAATTTACGAAAATTAGAATATGTTATTACTTATTAATATGCTTAATTAGTAAAACTATTAAAAATATATGAATTAAAATAAATTTATTAAAAATTGTTAATGTATTCAAGACATCGATTGTAGCGATCGTTATTTGGCTGAGCATACCATTTTTTTTTAATCATTATTTTACTGTCGCGATAAGTCGTGATCCACAATTGTGATTGTGACTCTTTTTTCAACCTCAATCACTATTTAAAACTATAGATAGTAGCTGCAACGATTAGAATCCAAAGTGCTGTATTCTGTACTGTCTGAGCATCAGGTCCGGTGTTTCCAGCAGCACAACTAAGAGGAATACCTTTTGGCCACAGCATGAAATAGTATAATCATGTGTGCCATGTCCGATAACATCTATAGGAGACAAGTTATCTGGTTTTTCAGTGGTGTTGAATGGCTCTTTGTTTTCAGCTAGGAACCACTTTGCTCCTATTACTTTTTTTTTTTTT